CGTGACATGTTCGTACGAACCCTTTGTACGAACAAAAGTAAGAGAAATTTAGGATAAGAATACGAACATGTTCTTGCATGAGGCCCAATGTGACTTAAACAATGATGCTGCAGGTTTATGACATTTTACCATGTGGGGCCGACGTGCTGGTGGGGGCCGCCCGCCCGCCCAGTTACTGACCAAACAGTCTGGCAGTAATATTTGAGTTTGAGTAAAATGTGTCCATAGACTGACATGCAGCTTTCTGAGCTGTGATTTTCTTGTGTGAGTCACTTTTACAGCGTCGCTTCAAGTTCTGTTCCCCTTCATGAAAACATGAAAAATCAGCAGCGGATGACACAGCACAATGATCGGACGAAGACTGAACACAGGACAGAATGTAATGGCAAACTAATGAGAGACAATGAGGAACACCTGGAGGAGACACAAGAGGAAACAGGTGAACGTGGGAAACACAGAACACACTAGAAAGAAAACCAAAGCAGGGGGAAAACACAGACCCTGACATTGATAAGAAAGCCTCAAACAAACAAACAATGTGTGAAGGCTAAAAGCCAGATCTTAAAAATTCCTGAACCGTGATCAGAATACTCTGATGGTTACACAAGTTAAATTTGTATTTTTTTTTACTTTTTTGTTTTTTATGCAGGAGATACAACACTTTAATAAGGGCCTTAACTTCTTATCTGAAAGGAAAAAATATATTAGCGAGTTATATTGTTGAGTTGCTCACCAGCCTGCGCACTAGCCTGTGCGTTTATTGCAGGCTTTGCCGTGGAGAAGGGGGCTGTGGAAGCAGGGCAGTAATGCAGCAGAGAGCAAGGGACAGGGACCTGTAAGGTCCTGTAAGGTCCTGTCCCAGGACCATTTTTTCAAATCAGACTAAGTCCACATTTTCTCTCAAAACTCCCAACTGCAGCTTTAAAGCAATCCTTAATAATTATGTAAAAATTGTTCAAACCCTATTTCTAAAGTGTACTCCAGTAGATTAAAGGCACAGTGTGTAGGATTTAGTCAAATTTTTTAGCCGAAATTGAGATAATCACTAATGACAATTATAAAAAACATGTCTAATCATTGCGGACAAAGACCTTGTTTTATTATTTTTACCTTTATAAAAAGCTATTTATATCTCCATGGTCGCGGGTCACCACTACAGGCAGCCGCCATCTTGTCTACGAAGGCTCATGAAGGACAAACTGCGGTGGCGGCGTCAAAAACAGTTTTAGTTGTAATACTATAAATGTAATATTTGTTGTCTGTCATTGTAGCTGGGATAATTTTACTTATTAAAGCTCATAATCTTACCACTTGAAACATCACTAGCCCTGAAGCTGCTGGTAGACATCGCGGTTGGAATTATCAAAGGTTTTTGACACCTGAGAGACACCGTAGCAACTCCTTTGCATTTGGAAGCGGGGGTGGGGGTGGGGGGAGGACTAGGGAGGATGATTCAACCACTCAACCACTAGATGTTGCTGAAAACAACAAATCCTACACACTGTGCCTTTAAGTCATGAAAGTGGGAACCAAGGTGGGTACAATGTGAGTGAAGGTGAGCAACAAAGTAATGTGCATGGCCAAAAGTACAAATTTTGTAAGCCATGCACATAAAAATAGATTATATATAAAAACTTGCTTCCCACAACATCTTAGAGCATCAAATTTTCACCTGTTTTTTCTTGATTTTAAGTCGTTATCTTGTCTCCATTAGTCACAGCTTGGAGAGATACCGATGTTAAAAGCTGGAACTTTCAGATCTGACACTAATCTGTTACTTTGGAATGAGACAAAATACAAAGCATGCTGGTCCTCTGTTAGTTATTGTGTTCATGAATGTGTTGTTTTTGACAGAATCTGGCATTAATTGTGCTGGGGATTGGTGCTCTTTTTGCCATCTTCTTCCACTTGGGAACCACAGAGGGGCAAAACCCCGGAGAGGAGGCTGATGGGGAACAGAGACCCTTGTTACCTTCCTCTACCCCTACTTCATCCTTTCTGCAGTGGAAATGTTGGCTCAAGCAGCCTTCTTTTTACCAGGTACGCTTCTCTTTTCCAGTGAGACGTAACACTGTGAAGTGACCTGGACTTCATGTGTCTGTTTGTACGTCGTGACAGCAGATTTTACTTTGTGTGTTTGCAGGTGGCCTTACTCTACATGTCCACCAGATTAATAGTGAATCTCTCTCAGACATACATTGCTATGTATCTCATCAACACTCTGGGGCTGCCTAAGGTAAAACAGAAGTGTACATGTGTGCAATTTCTGTAAAGGTACAGCGTGAAAGCTGATCGTTGCGTGTCTTCTGAAATGCTATATGTTTAAGAAGCTGGAACATAATATAGTTACTGTGTACATGGTGAAAACTAAGATTGCCAAAGCTGGTGAAATCTAAAACCAGCAAAACGAAAGCTGAACTCAAAGCAGAAAAATAAATAAAAACCAGAACTGCAGTGCGGTCCAATCCTGTTTATGCTCAATGACCTTGGCCCGTGTTGTCCCCAGTACCCTGTTAACTAGTGCAGGGGTTCACAAAATTTTCAGTGCCAAGAACCCCTGAATAGCCTTAGTTTCTGGTCGGAGACCAACCTTGCAAACCTACAAACAATGCTACAAAATATGTAAAGAAACATATTATTTTAGAATGTTTCTTGTTTTTATTCACCATTCTACAGAGGTGAGCAGTAACTCAGTAAATTTATGTTTCAGATACATTTAGGTCTCTTAAAATATGTCTCTAACTGCATCCATATCTCCTCTTTAACCTTCTTTTTTGTCTTTTTGCTAGCAGCTGCATTAATCACATTCTTCTACCAATATAACATCTGTGTCTCTAGACATGTTAGAAGCATCTCAATCTGGCCTTTTTAACATTATCTTCATGTTGTTCATCTGTGTTTTACCTCTGATGGTTTCATTCCTAAGCTTATCCATCCTTATCATTCCCAAGTAGAACCTCAGTGTCTTCAGGTCTGTCACTTCCAGCTGTCTTGGGTGTTTTTGCCACTTTGCTACTATTTTGTATTTTTACCTTTGATGTTTGCTGCCAAGTTTTTTATAACTCCTGAGATTTCTCCCTCCACTCCATCTTGCCTTCACTTCTTTACTACTTCCAGTTTTCTAGGACAGTCAACCCTAGGTCCTTGAAGTCCTGCAGTTTTGAGACGTGCTCCTTGTAGCCGAACTGTTCCATGTGCCTCCCTCTCATGCACACATGTACTCTGTCTTTTTACTTCTATCATTCTTCGTTTTGAGGTATATACCTGTGCCTGTTCAAGTTCTCTTCCACCAGTTTCTAATCCACACCACAAATTACAATTACTACACATACACTGATTTATCTAGTCAAACCACTGCTACAGAGGGCCATTACACTGTATGTTTTTAACCAATGAAGTAAGAGCATTTTTGGGAAATACAGACATTTTCCCAGTCCTTTTTTGCAGCTCTACTGCACTGTACAAGTTAGATTTACAAGGTCTGATGTAAATTAAGTTTTGGTTAAAGGGACTGTGACATCATATTTTTGTAATAAACCTGAATGCATTTTTGGAAAGAGAACATTGATAACACATTGCAAAACAAATTTCATGCCACTGAGATGAACAGTTGTTGAGATATTTGCATGTGAAGAAACAGGAAGTGACGTCAAAGGGGAGTGTCTGAATGTAAACAGTAATCTGATGTTTCTTAAGATTATTTTTAGTCGCTATCAAAGAGAGATAAAGAAGAGCTAAATAAATAATTTTGTTTTACTAAACAAAAACCAGAGAGTTTATTTTATTAATGAGTTCCCCTTTGATGTCACTTCCTGTTTCACTTTGGATAAGACAAATTCAAAAGAAAATCTGCCATTTATGTGGCAAAATGGGTAAAATCATGTGTACTATGCCAATTTTCTTAAATATAAATATGTTTTGTTTGACTTTTTGTATTTGAAGGATAAGCATGTCACAGACACTTTAAAGTTAGGGTTAAGAGCAGACTAGTAATGCTTAGGGAAAATGTCTTGGTTATGCATACAATGGTGTGAAAATGTGTTTGTCCTCCCCCTTCTTGATTTCTTATTCTTTTGCATGTTTGTCACAGTTAATGTTTCATATCATCAAACAAATTTAAATATTAGACAAAGGTAACACACATCTTTGGAAAGCTAAGTTTAATTTCCCTGGCCACACCCAGGCCTGATTACTGCCACACATGCTCTTAATCAATAAACCACTTAAATAGAACCTGCCTGACAAGTAAAGTAGACCAAACAATCCTGAAAAGCTGGACATCATGATGAAATCCAAATAATCTCAGGAACAAATAAAAAACAAAATAAATTGAGATCTATCCATCTATAAAAGGTTATAACCCCATTTCTAAAGCTTTGGGACTCCAGTGAACCACAGAGCCTTTGTCCACAAATGACAAAAGTATGGAACAGCAGTGAACCTTCCCAGGAGTGGCTGGCTGACCAAAATTACCACAAGAGCACAGCAATGACTCATCCAAGAGGTCACAAAGACCCCACAACAACATCCAAAGAACTGCAGGTCTCACTAGCTTCAGTTAAGGTCAGTGTTCATGCCTCCACCATGAGAAAGGTACTGGACAAACAGGGATTGCACGGCAAAGCTCCAACATGAAAACCACTACTGAGCAAAAAGAACATAAAGGCTTGTCTCGGTTTTGCAAGAAAACATTGGATCCCTAATAAAAATAGCCAAACCTTGACAAAAAGCCGAAATTAGAAGAATGATAGCCAAAAGTAAAATTTACCAAACCAATAGCTAAAAGCTCAATCTAACAAATCCGTTGCTAAAATCTAAATTTAGCAGAACAAACTAAGTTTAACATTTTTAATTTCTAAAAGCTACAGAAACTAAAAGTCATAGCTGTATTGTCCTGAATGCACTGAATATTTTCTAATATGAATGTTTAACATAACTGACAAATGCTAAAGTGGTACAGTCAGAAGAAATGAGCAGAAACTATAAAAAGTAAACCAATAGTGCGAATGCCAAGTCAGTATTTAGAATATAGGTCTATTTTACTTACATATTTGATATTTCTTGTAATTGTCTATCCTGTCATGTGTTTATCCTATAGAATTACATTGCAACAATTCCACTCGTCATGTACATCAGCGGATTTCTGTCTTCTTTCATTATGAAGCCTGTCAGTAAACGCATTGGAAAGTGTGTAAGTAGAGCCTTCTGCTTTAGTCTTGGTTCCACTCTACAACATTCATCCACAAAACACAAAACACACACACACACACACACACACACACACACACACAACACAATTGACTATTTTTATAGAAGATTTCTGATTTAAATGATCTATTACCGTTTTTTCTGGACTATAAGCCACAACATGCTTTGAACAATGGGCCTCATGCAAGAACCGTTCGTACGCACAGATTTGTTCTTCACTTGTGCGTACGAGTGATTTAGGAGAATTTGTGGCATTCACCAATGTTTTCGTATTCGAAGATTTTTTTCAGATACGAACAAAATTCATGAGTGGTCCAGACCTGTCGTATATTTTACCAGCAGTCAGTTTGTTGTTATCTAGACCGATTTTCTCCCTAATAACTTTATATTTCGTTAGTTTGAAGATATTTTGAGTTGAAAATAAATCACACTCCATAATTATCTTGACAATAGGTTATTCTGCTTGAATT